GAGGTCCCAAGTGGGGATAAGGTCCCAGGGGATCACATGGCTGGAGGCTCAAGGAGGGTCTATAGCAGCGGTTCTCAACCTTCCTAATGCCGCGACCCCTTAATCCAGTTCCTCATGTTGTGGTGACCCCCAACCATAAAATTACTTTCGTTGCTACTCTATAACTGTAATTTTGCTACTGTTATGAATCATAATGTAAGTATCTTTTTGTTTTCCGATGGTCTTAGCGACCCCTGTGAAAGGGTCATTCGACTCCCAAAGGGGTCGTGACCCACAGGGTGAGAACCGCTGCTCTAAAGAATATACATGGTTAACATATTTTGAAAATAAAACTCTTTGAATTTTCTACAATGCAACCAACAGCAACATCAAAGGTGGGCTCGATCAATTCTTAGGGAAAGGTCAGAGATAATGGAGCATGAAGCATCCAGGTCCTTTTGCCTCTCATATTCTCTCTGCTGTCTCTCTGACAACAGACTGGGCAGAGGATGGAAAATTACTCAACTATGCTAGGCTTTAGCAGCTCTGGTAAATATATTAGGCGTATGTCAGGTTAACTGTTAAAAGGGACACGTTTAAGATAGCAAAACATTTTACTTATTTGTGGAATTCTTCTCTCTAAGTAGCATGATTAATGAGGAGGTGGATAATATGAAGAAAAGAACATTATGGCATAATTCTAGAAAGCAAGAAAGTAATCCCCATAAAACACGCAATCGATGTATTTTAAAATTCGCAAAAATTTTACACCAAAGCTGAAGAATGGGGGTAAGATAACAAGGTGGCGGGGAACTGGTCAGAGAATAGGATAAAACGGTATAATTCCCGGTCGAAGGGAAGCAACGACAGTGCTAAAGGAAATAGCCGCAATAAGATGACTGGCTAGTTCTTATCACCTTGCGTCAGTGGTAATGGGAATCGAATGAGAAAAAAAGCTGGGCCCCGTTTACAACACGCTACCCCGGCAACCACGGCTGGTAAGGAAGGATACAGGTAAGCGCCAGGTCGGTGACGCCCGCCGCTCAGCCGAGGGCTGAGAGGGGCTCTGTCGCGGGTGTCCGAAGATTCAGGGTCTAGTCCCGCGACTGCACTCCTTGCTCCGGGCCTCCCGGCCAGCATCCTTCACCTTTACGCCGCCTCGGAGCTCGCCCCCAGCGCCTCCCTCATGGCAGTTCCCGCTTCCTCCTCCTTCTCCTCCTCCGCCCCTCCCCACACTCCGTCTCTCAGGCCTCGAGTCACGGACGCGGAAGGGTTGGCCAAGGCAGCTGTGGTTCCCGTGCACCCGCGCTGGTGGCTGTGGTGGCGACGGTAGCTGCGGTAACGAACTGGCCTGGCAATGGGCTAGGAGGCGGTAGAGACCCCGCCGCCGCCATCTTGACAACCAACAGACGCCGCGCGGCGTCCTTCGCGACAGAAACCCGGGAGTTCGGGCGAGGCGGGGCGGGGCGGGGCTCCCGAGGCAGCCAATAGGAGGTTCTGGCTGCCCCCGCCTGCTCCAAACTGCCCTGCTGGCGGCGGGTGGGAACCCTGGCATCTCCAGGCATCTGAGTCTTTGCAGGAGTTGCGTTGAACTGTGCGTTAGAGCCTGACTCAGCTCAACGTCCCTTTTTTTATGAGGATGTTTATCTGGGGGTATTGAGTGTGATGAGACAGTGAGATGCAAAATCCCCAAACACAGGCAAACGCCACCGTGGGGATTCTGAAATGATTGCATTGGGGATAATTCACGGTTGGAGTTCTTTACCGAATCCTGTGGTGTAGTTTTAGTTGTCAGTCTTTCTGGGACATTCCTATCCCCGAACACCATCTCTCTTAAAAAGCTTTTTAAGTGGAAATTTCCTTTCTCTGCATTCTCTCATCCGCTTCATGATGCTTCTGCTATTCCCTCTGCAGTCATTTTCCTTTCCATTTCTCTACTTAAAAGGTCTACACTTCAAAGGCTCCAAATGGTGCCTGCCTTGCTGCCAGATTCTGGAAATAGACCATCATAGTATCCGTGACCTGGAAAGAAGTCCAGATTTACCCTGTAATCTCCTGGGAAGGTATGTCAAAAGAGATCATATTGAAATTGTTTCAGGAGGTATGGAAAATTGAATGGATTTTCTAGCCATCAGTTTAATGGCTATGCAAGTGAAAATTTGAAAAAAGGCTTTTTGTTGGAGCCCATTATAAAAGTACATATAAATTCTGACTATATTTTATTTCAGCCAGGTTTTTATTATCTTGTTTTTAAACTTACAGGTTGGAAGCAGAATGTACAAACCAAATAAAGATCACTCACCCAAATTCTGCCTTTGTGAATCAATTTGTTCATTTTTAGAATTTAAATAATAAACTTTTCCAGCTGGAACTATTTAGAGCAGACTTTTTGCAAGTTTGGATGCAATGACAAATTGGAATGTGCTCTGGTGATTGAGATTTTAAAGTGCCACAGCAAATCTAGTTTGATTTAAAACACAAAACACATAAGCCCCCTTCAGGACAATGCCAAGAGGATATAATATACAATTTTGGCAAAGAAAGGCTACATGTGTGTACTTGGGCAATTAATTATTTTGGTAAGTTTTTAACTGGTGTAGCCACAGGCATTGACCTTGATTCTATTCTCACTAGGGCAAATGAGAGAGAGAGAGAGAGAGAGAGAGAGAGAGAGAGAGAGAGAGAGAGAGAGGGAGAGGGAGAGAGAGANTGTGGTGACCCCCAACCATAAAATTACTTTCGTTGCTACTCTATAACTGTAATTTTGCTACTGTTATGAATCATAATGTAAGTATCTTTTTGTTTCCCAGATGGTCTTAGGCGACCCCTGTGAAAGGGTCGTTCGACCCCCAAAGGGGTCACGACCCACAGGTTGAGAACCGCTGGTCTATAGGATTAGTGGTGGTGTGGAGAGCTGTCACCACTGGGGACAACTTAGGACCAGGTGTGTGAATCAAGTGAAGTCTCAAGTTTAGCTAAGTTAGAAGGCTTGGCAGCCAGATCCCTCTGGAACTGGAGAGGCTGGGTCCTGACAGGCAACCCCCAGTCCTTGGAGGGAACAAAGAGTCTGCCAGAATGAATGGAACTGTCACCCAGCTGTGCACGGGCCTTCTAAGTCAAAGGAAAATGCTGGGTCCCCCTGCTGTCTACACAGCCCAGAACAGTCCTTTTTAGTGTGTGATATTGGCTTAGAGAATTACATCCAAAACTAAATTTCCTCCCTCCCTGCTCTCCTTTCTGAACTCCTGATTCTCTGACATCCCGACTGGATAAATAAGAGCTGATTCTTATTAAAAATTGAGTATGTGCTAAGCATCTTCCTAAGCCTTTACATTTAGTCTTCACAACGACCCTCTGAGGTTCCTACTATTTATTATTATTCCCATTTTACAGTGAGGAAACAGAACCACAGAGAAGTAAAGTAACTTGCTCAAGGTCACACAGCCAATAAATGGTATAATTTAAAGGATTGAAAGAAACTGAAAAGGCAATACATTTTTCATTATGTGAGTCAATGTTGTTATATGTTTCATCGTCGTAAGACCAAAACAGTCTCTCCGTTAGCAGGTAGTAAAAGACCCACACTTCAGGGATCTCTGGCTGCTGCAGGACCCTCATTTCTTTAGAATTTTTATAGCTGGGCTCTCGTCTATATTTCTAGCCTCACCTCCTGCCACAGAAACCTCTCATCCTCTAGCAGTTCCCTGGGCCACGATTATTGGTACTCGTGTGCCTTTGCTCAGTGCCTGGAATATCCTTACTCTACTATGAATCCCAGTCACACTAAGCTCCAATGACACACGACTGCAGGCACAATGAATGGCCCCTTCACTTAAGCCCAGGACATTTGACTGACTCTTCTGCCACAGAATTTACTTTATTCTCTTATCTTTCTCTAGCGCGGGGGCTTTGTAACCTCCGATCCTTAGCACGGTGTCTTACACATAGTGCTCAATAAATATTAGTGAAATTAGATGCATTCACACCTCGAGGGGTTCTCCCAACATCTCCATCATAGAGGAGATCCACGTGTCTGTGGGTGATCGCAGACTGTCATGATTGTGGCAGAAACTGTACCTGGGTAGGATGGAGGGAGAATGGGGTGGAGAAGGGAAAGCCCCTGTGAACTTGGCCCAGTAAATACCCGGTAAATAAAAAGTCTGCATGACAGCGAGAACTTGAGTTTCTGTGCACAGACTAGCTTGCTCTATTCGCCTTTCCAGGGAACATATAAGGCTCAGGCTCTAGCACCCAGTCGTGGCCAAATGCCTCCTAAACCCAACCTGTGGGTTCCTAGGGGACAGGCAGTCCTTTCCCGTTTGCGTAAACAGTGAAGACAAATGTGGGGGTTATCCGTCAAGAAGGATCTTCAGGGCTTTACAGACCTGCGGCTCACTGAGCGCTGGTCGGGAATCGAGTCAGCTCTGGGCTGCGCGGTGGATTCAAATGCCAGCAGCCCGGTAAACAGGTTTGGGACCGCGCTCGGATTTGCTCGGCAGCCTGTTCTGGGGAGCACGGTGACATTCGCGAGCTTAAACTCGCCTTCGCGTCACGCCACCCTACAGCACCGAATCGTCTTCAACCGCCGCCACTGCTTTTTAGAGAAGAGTGAACTCCCGGAGCCTTACCCTTGGCTTAATTTAAGCTTTCGGGAAAACATTTTGCGGCCCACGGCTGGCTCCGCCTCCCGGGCCACGTGGGCGCGGCGCACCCAAGCCCCAAGCCCCAGCGGCGGGGTGGCGGGGCCCCAGAGGAGGTGTGGCGATCCCGGAGCGGTGGGCGGGTCCTCGAAGGGCGGGCCAGGCCCGGAGGGACCGGCCCAGGCGGCGGCGAGGCCGAGGGAGCTGCAGGCCGGCCGCAGGCCTAGCGCGCCACCATGGGACGACAGCGCCCGCGGGCACGGGGACCGCTGCGGCCGCAGAGGCGGCCCAGGAGGAACGGGGGCTGAGGCCGGTCCCTCCGGGTAGTGGGCCCGCGATCCCCCGCCGTCCCGAGCCCCGATCCCTTCTCCCTGTCTTCCACGGGCGCGGCGGCGACCCCGCCGGACGATGCGCGGCCACCCGGGAGGCTGAGCCCGCCGCCCCGCGCTCCGCCCGCGCTCTCGCGGCCTCCCCGCATGGCCTTGCCGGGCGCCGAGGGCGCGGCCGACGGGCCGGTGTCCCCGTCCCGGGGCGCCCCCTCCGGCTCCGCGTCGTCGTCGTCCGCCTCCTCCGGCGGCTCGGCCTCGGCGGGCGCGGGGCTGTGGGCCGCCCTGTACGACTACGAGGCGCGCGGCGAGGACGAGCTGAGCCTGCGGCGCGGCCAGCTGGTGGAGGTGCTGTCCCAGGACGCCGCCGTGTCTGGCGACGAGGGCTGGTGGGCCGGCCAGGTGCAGCGGCGCCTGGGCATCTTCCCCGCCAACTACGTGGCGCCGTGCCGCCCGCCAGCCCGCCCGCCGCCGCCGCGGCCCGGCTCGCCCGTGCACGTCGACTTCGAGAGGCTGGAGCTCAAGGAGCTCATCGGCGCCGGCGGCTTCGGACAGGTGTACCGCGCCACCTGGCAGGGCCAGGAGGTGGCGGTGAAGGCGGCGCGCCGGGACCCGGAGCAGGACGCGGCGGCGGCGGCCGAGAGCGTGCGGCGGGAGGCGCGGCTCTTCGCCATGCTGCGGCACCCCAACATCATCGAGCTGCGCGGCGTGTGCCTGCGCCAGCCGCACCTCTGCCTGGTGCTCGAGTTCGCCCGCGGCGGAGCGCTCAACCGCGCGCTGGCCGCCGCCAACGCCGCCCCGGACCCGCGCGCGCCCGGCCCGCGACGGGCGCGCCGCATCCCCCCGCACGTGCTGGTCAACTGGGCAGTGCAGATCGCGCGCGGCATGCTCTACCTGCACGAGGAGGCCGTCGTGCCCATCCTGCACCGGGACCTCAAGTCCAGCAACAGTAAGTGGGGCGAGGGCGGGGGGTGAGGACGCAGCCGGGCCCCGCGCAGCCCACCTCCCTGCCGGCGCAGGGCGGGCTCCCCGAGCCTAGTGCCGGGTGGAAGGAGGTGGGGGCCACCTTGGGCGCCAGCAGCACCTCCTGCGCAGGCCTGCCAGGGTTCAGAGGGCCAGCTAAACCTTGGGTTACTCGCTTTGGAGCAGGTGACACTCGTACCTTGAGATGTTGCTTTTGGGTGCCGTTTTAAAAAGTGAGGATCGGATTTGCTTGCAGACTAAACAGTTATAACTACCTGGATCTTCTGGAAACTAAAAGGTGCTGTTTGGCCTTTAGGTACAACAAGTGGTTCATTTGGGGAGGACTTTGCAAACGGAGCCCTTCCTCGAATGAGACGGGACCCGTGGCCCTCCTTCCGGCCTAGCGGCCTTCATCCAACTCCCCTTCCCTGCAGCTTCACAAGTGCTTATTGAAGTCGCTCTTCTCCCACTTTAAATATGGCTTCGTGTCCTTTGACGTTTCTACAGTCTTTTCTTTCGGACGTCTCTGCACATGAAGTATGATTTTATCATTGGTTGGGTGTCTGTGAATAGTCCGCAGACTAGAAACTCCAGTTTGTGCCCTGTGCTTATATGGGTTGATTGAGAGCAAGAGCATTGTCCCGGCACGGGTACTTGAAATCCTGAAGACCTAGCCTATATCATTTACTATGTTTATAAATCAGGGTGGATTTTCCAGATGTCAGTGAAAAACTGACAATTGAACCAAACATAAATTTTACTGTTTCACCATATAGAAGAGCTAATAGAACTGCTGCTTAAAGTTGGTTCTTGAATATGGGAAATCATTTGATATTCTTAGAATGAGATGAAATCTTATGACATTAAAGGATGCAGTCAGAACTGGCATTGACCTACAGCTGCGTGTCTCTCAACCTTGTAAAACCTGCTAGGACAGGAGCTAACTCAGCCGGAAACATTGTCCTTCTCCAAACCTGCAGAGAAGAGTGACAAGAAGAAATGATAAATTCGTTGTATGTTTGTGTAGATTTTTTTTTTCCTATTCAGAATCCTTCAGCCCTGAAATTTACTTGAAAATGACTAAGGTAGCATTTTGGTTATGGGAATTATAAGTCATTTGAGTGTTGGTAACTACATATCAGCACTGAATACTTTTCTTTTAGGCTCTCTTTTATGATTTCCACTAACCCCTCGTCTTATTTAGATTGCAACTGCTTAAGTCACAAGAGCAATTCTAACAAACTGTGGCACTGAGAAGTGGCAGAGGTAGTGTGTATTCTTAGAGTTCTGACAGAGGCCACATGAATGATTCTAGAATTATTTACTTTTGGATGGTGTATAGTAAAGCCATAGAATGACTTTTAATGTAGTTATTTTTGTAAATGCTTCAAACCTGACACAGTCTTCACTGCCAATTGGTGCCTATTTCCTAAAATATGCTTTTATTCAAAGAAATGTTTAACCTGCTGCCAGAGAACAAGGCCCGTGTGTCCTGTCTGTGCGTCCAATAAGCCCTCTCCTCATGACATCCTGCAAGCCTGTGTCTGCCCAGAGTTGCCTGCAGAACCCAGAATTTTAGGACAGCAGTAGCATCATTGCGTGCTCTGTCTCTTAGCCGGCGCTGAATTCCTGTGGTACACCGGGGACCTGGCATTCTACAGACATATTCTGCCTCACAATTTCAAATCACCAACAGGCAAACGGTTTGGGTTGGATTGGTCTTTAGACGCAGAAGTCTGTGTTGTTGGGTTGTAATAATACTTAGGGCTCATGTCAGCTGACCACGAAGTACAGCATGTTTGCTAGTATTTGTAAAAGCACAGAAAGGGAGATTAATTCACATTCTAATCATAAACTTTTTATATAAATTTAAAACTTTTAAAGAACTAATACTATTAAGTAGTAAAACGAGAGAACATGACCTTGGAATAATAACCATGGTTAAATAGTTTTTACTGACACTGGAAAAACTTGTACGGTGGAACCATAGACTACTGTGTACATGGTAGATGTTATGTAATTTGAAGGTGATTATATGCTGCAACTTAGTGTCTTGAAAGACTTTTCACCCTCAAAATAAACTGCTAAACTTCCTGGAGCATTTTAATTTCTGTCATTGTTGGGCAGGATTATGTTTTGTTTTAACTGTTGCCCTTTTTAAAAGAATTAATTGGGTAGGTCACTAATGTAGCCCAATATTTGTTACAATATGGCCATTATTATAGCTGTTAAATTACGATGGCATTAATATTTTGAATAGGGCCTAAAGTGTGCAAATCATAGTGCCTCGTACATTGTTTATCCTGGCTCTGCTGTGTTGCCTATTCAGGGACTAAATGTAGATGCTTTGGAATTCTCTCATGATAGGCGAAGCCATAACTTCTTGTTCTGTTACAGTCTGTTTTGTTTGACTTTATTGGTTATTTGCTAATGGTGGTAGTGAGTTAATGATAATGTAAACAGGTTTTAAAAAATCAATATTGAATTTTATTTTCATTCTGTAGTCTACTCAGCTAACAAAGAGCCAATATAAGACTACTTGGAATCAAGGTAGTGGAAATTATTGTTTAAAACAAATGTTTAAATTTGTCAAAGGAAGATATGGCTCTTGATAGATTTTCTTTCCTCTTTTCTCATCGGTCTTTTTCAGCTTCATCATATCGTTTGAGACAATGTTTATGTTGAAATAAGGGCTGATATGTTGTGATGTGTACCCTTGTCCCCTTTCTAACAGAGAGCAAAAGATTGAAGGTTGAGCCAAGTTAGTAAGTTTTAAGCATTATTTATGTTAAAATACCCTAGGCCCTGTCACTCCTGGGACACAGAATAAGTAGAAAACAGTTTGCTAAATCTATCTCTATGCAGCACCTAGAGAACAATGCAATGCAACTTCGGGATACCGTGAAAAAGGCCAGTTTTATATGCATTCTGAGAACAGGGAAAAATCATCGTGAGCTGGAACTCATTTATTCAAAACATTGTGAGTGCCCACCCTGTACCAGTCGCTTCCGGGCCCCAGGGGCATAGTAGCAAAGCAGATGACAATATCCCCATCAACACAGGGCTTAGTCTGATAAGACAGATAGATTGGCAGTCATGCAGTGGCGAACATTAGCAAGTGCTATCAAGAAAATAAAGCATGATGAGGGGGCAGACAGTGATGGATGCAGCACGCAGGGTGCTCTGGGGACAGGGGTGATCAAGGGACACCGCTCTCAGGGAGTGACACAGAGACATGGTGAGGAGGAGGCATGAGTCAAGCAGAGGGAAGACGGAGCCTGGGCCTGAGGTGGAGAGTGGAGAAGGCAGTAGAGGTCAGTGCCTGGCAGGCTGTGACCCACCTGGGTTCCCCTCTGAGTGCCACCACCAGGAGCCTGAGCATTTTGTGCAGAGAGGTGTGATCTGATTTGTGTGTCTACAAGGTCACTCTGGCTACTCTGGAGAATGGACGAAGACTTTGCCTGAGTGAAGGTTGTCAAGGTTGACCAGGCAAGAGTAGGCGCTGGCTTGGCCAAGGGCTATAGAGGAAGTAGTCTCCAGGAAGCTACCAGGAAGAATGAAGATAAAATATAGTACACTATGTGGATTGCTGAGGATGGTTTGAATGATTAGAATTTCGTCTTAAGTGTTTCGCTTATTCTAGCATAGTTTAGGATAGCAAGAAGGTTGAGTGGTGTAATTTGTGGTTCCTTCTTCTCTTTTTTTTAATGTCACTTACTGCTTTATGTTTTTTGAAGTAGAAAATAAACATTCCTTGAGAAGCTGAGCCACAAATTTCAGTAGCTGCTTACCTTTGTACTTTTTATCCCAAAGATTAAGCAACTTTTTATCCTGAGTTTTTGAGCCTTTGGGGGATTATTATTAGCTATATTATCTACCACAGCACCTACAACCTATAGACACAGACTACTTATTATGAAATGCAATTTAGAGCCCTAAGTAAAAGAAACTACAAAAGGGACCTAATTTTTTTTTTAGCTTTTCTCATTTATACAATGTAAATAAAGGAACCATTTGTGAAAATTATAACAAATGTAATCTCTAAGGTGCTTCAAAAGCTTATGAGAGTGCTTTGGAAGAGCTATTAATTATGCTGTGATCAGTTAAAAGACATGTGTCGCCTTCCTTCTCCAGACGTGTAGCTTCTTGTCATGGCCACTTCCTGTTCCAAGGGGCATGGAGTGGTGACAAAGAGCTGATCTGCTTTTGTAACAAAATCAGCTGAAGGACCGATTTTGGGAAGAACAGCAATCACAGAAGGGCCCCACAGCCACCATTTTCATGCTTGCATATCAAAACGTCAACAGGCCACTTGTCATTTTTTATAGCTGTGAGGGGGGTAGCTACTTAGTTCTGGGTCGTGCACACTTGCTCTTCAGTGTACACACCTGGTCATTTTTGTCGTCATTGTCAAGTGTGTCAGCATAGTAAAGGAAAGAGGAGAGTGGAAATCCACTTCCATGTATTTCCGAAGGCCGTCTGTAAGCCCTGCGTCCTTACACACAACCCTGTGAGTGCTGAACTTTTCTAGAATAATGCAGTTACTGGAAGTCAGTCAGACCTGTGTTTGAATATCGGTGTCATCATTTACGAGCTGTGTGACCTTGAGCAAGTTCTATAAGCTCATTGAACCTGAATTTCTTGATTTCTGATACTGTCTACTGAATTCCTCTCTTGGAGATGGACAGAAGTCCCGTAGGAAAAAATCTGTTTAATGTTTCTTTAACCCTTCCAAGGCAGTTGGGTAAATACTGGCGTGAAAGCATAGGGCTTTTGTGGGGAACAGTGAGTAGCTGGGTGTGACTAGGATGAAAGGTAGACAGGGGTTTGTGGGAAGGAAACAGGCATTTAGCATGTGCCAGACGTGAGCGAGCGCCTTGAATGCCATGCTTCGTAAGACGTGTAGACTATCTGAAAGCAAGAGGGAGCCGTTGAAGGTTTTGAGGAGGAAAGTGGTCTGATCTGACAGATAAACATCTACAAAGAAAAAACAACAAGCTTGGGATCA